TCCTTTCTATTTTTTCCCACAATTTTGTGAATAACTTATGCTAATTCTTCTTAAATGTTTTCTGAAACCTACCCATGAGGTCATCTGGGCTTGCTTCTTTTTTCTTGGGAAGTTTTGAAATAATGATTCAATCTCTTTACATGCTATGGGTCTCTCTAGATTTTATATTTGCTTTTAAATTATTTTGATATTTTGTGTCTTTTTAATAATTTATCAATTTTTTCCTAGGTTACCTAATTTTTTGGTATACAGTAGTTTATAATGTCCCTTTTGTTTCTGAATGATCAGTAGTAATATGCCACCTTCATTCCTTATTTCAGTAATTTGGTTTAGTCTATTTTTGCTTGGTCAATCTAGTTAAAGTTTTGTTAAATTTATTGCTCTTTGAAAAGAATAAATTGTAATGGATTTTACCTGTTGCTTTTCTAGTCTTCATTTTATTTTCCTCTGTTTTAACCTTTATAATTTTGTTTCTTCAGCTTGCTTTAGACTTAGTTTGTGCTTTTCACTTTTTAAGGTGGAAAGTTAGGTGAAGTTATTGACTTGAGATCTTTTCCTTTACTATAGTTATTTGCAGTGATTTTTCTCAGAGCCACAGGTTATACATTTTGATATCCTGGGTTTACATTTTCATTCACCTAAATTCAGATGCATTTAAGGAATTCCTGCCATGTGCTTCTTTCATGATGTGCTGTCCCACTACAGACCCAAAACAACAGGGTCAAGCAACCATGAACTGAAACCTCTGCACCATGAACCAAAATAAGCCTCTCCTCACTTTATGTTTATTATCTCAGGTGGTTTGTCACAGTGATGGAAACCTGATTCATATAGTGAATTTACCTTAACCCTTAAGAACAAATGGGGGCCAGGAAAGTCTTCTTCAGGAGGATTTGGAGAAATTTGGGTCCCAGTTATTCTTGTCTGTTCCAAGTGTCATATAGACCATGAGGTTTTTAAGGGTATCCATTGGTCATCATTAGAACACTAGCACCTAGGACAGAGTCTTGCATAGAGTAGGGACTCAGGGTAAAGTGGCTGAGTGATTGAATTGACTCTCAGTGCTAGTAACTGATGCAGGTTGGAAGATGGATGCTGCTTAGCAAAGCCTAGTGAGGAGAATACACCACAGAGCAGAGCCTGGGTCCTCTTTGAGGGATGGAAAGACCTCTTCGGAAGAAGGGAGGAGTAGATAGTATTTGTGACAGAATTTCCTCTTACCAGGCCTTGGTTGGGTCACACCACCTTGAGCAACCCACTGTGGCTAAGAAACCAAAATGCTGGGGGAACTGGAGGTGGCAGTGTTTGCAGACTGGTGCTCTTTTCTGCTGTGGGTATCTGCTGGCATGGAGACAAACTCTGAGAATTACACTTTCAACTACCCCTCCAAACAGAGGATGGAAAGGAGTGAGGATGAGGATGTGTTGAGCTTAGCATAACTTGCTGAGGAACGATTCTTATTGCTAGGTGAGTAGACTCAGGTTTGCAAAATCTCTGAATTTCAAAAGCTATGCCAAGGTGCTTGCTACTTTTACTGCAGTTTCTAGTCAGTTAAGTGGCTTTTTATAGATTATTTTACTGTAGTTGATTTTAGATTATATAGCTTTAGGTTTCCTGCCAGAGCTACATTTGTATGTGCGTACACGTGAGAACACGTGTGCATGAGTAATGGCATCAGTTGACCAATAATTTCTGAGGCTTTATCTTGGAGGATATTCTGGTGCAAACAATTGAGAATTTTGTGCTTATAAGCACCTTTGCCTTGATCTTAAGCTTAACTGGAACCAACATTCTACTTCCAACCCAAGTTAACCACTCTCTCCTCTAGCCATTTGTGGGCCATGTACACATCTTCCTCTTCTTACTTAATGTAGGGTGTTGGAGTTATTTGTTTGCATGCCTTTCTTCTTTTTCGATTATGAGGTCCCTTTGGGAGGGACACATCCCTGTATGAGAGCCTAGCACAATTCCTCATTAGAGTAAAGTTGAAAGGGCAGGATCACTGTGTCAATTATGTAAAATAACACCTGGCTTCGTGGATATGCAAACGATGTTTACGAATTGAATATGCCATTGCCAGTTATTGGTACTCAGTGAATATTTGCTGAGTTCAACAATGAGTTCGTATTTGGGCCATGTATTTCATGAGCAGAAAATCTCATTGTTTCATCATCCAAAGGCAGCATCTGTACATGCACACATGTCCAACCTGTGGCTTATGGGCCAGCCTGTGATATAACAAAAACAAAATGTACAAATGGGAATTTTGATACTTACCTATATTGAGTATGTTATGTATTGTACATGTGACTTGAGACAATTCCTCTTCACTCCGCGTAGCCAAGGCGAGACAGGTGGGTGTGATTCACAGACCTTAGGTTTGATATACCTGGAAGGGGACATATGCCAGGATTTGTTTTTCATGGCAATGACCCTACCCCCACACTACCAATGCAAGGACATTGCAACCCTGATAGTGATTGCACAGAAGACTTGAAGAGTAAAAAATCCAACTAAGTTATTATTTGATGAGAGAACAGGGCATAAAGTATGGAGGATATTTTAGTATAAACCCGATTCTATTTAATCATGTGGTTTTTCACTATCCTCATTTTTGCATGTGGACAGTGGCCTTTACCCTTTATACAGGTAAGAAATGCTCCTCAAAAACTTCTTGTAAATTTTTATTTTAGAGTAATTCATTACTCCAGCTAAAGGGAAGAGAAATAAAATGCGTTAAAGGGAAGAGAAATAAAATGTGGTGGGTGCATAGTTTTCACATCTTTTTACTTTCCTGTTTAAGCAGATCCTCTATTTTGGTCACTTTAAGTTTATTAAAGGGTCATTAATTATTTTAGAGAGCTCAGAAATCCAATGTCCTTATTACCAGCTTTCTTATTCTGATAATTGCTTAGCATTATATTTTCATATGCTTACAAAAGAAGTATGATCACTAAAAATGTAATTAAGAATATAGTCATGATTATCTCAAGAATAAGGGAGCCATATTTGTTTGAATCACCATGAAAAACAAAATACAATAAATCAAACAAAAACCTACCTGCCCTGTCCCAAGCTTGCCTCTTCGGTTGCACCCTCATCAAAGACAGGGACAAGAGGAGAGTGGGAGTGGGGGTGGGGAGTGGGGTTGGGATGGGGCCGGAAAGTACATGGAAAGATGTACGTGGCAGGATGGAGACCTTGGCGGGATGCCAGAGCTGTTCAAAACATGACTGAAGGAGATCTTGTCTGGTATTAACCCGCTCTCTGGCACTGAAGTTTTTGCATCCCATTATATATGCATGGAACTTTTGCTCTGATTGGAGAGGGGGCATTCAGACAGATTAGTTTTTTCAAATGGTTTCTTTCCACTGCTTTTGATGCATTGTATATATTTTCCCTTTCTGGTTCCTAACCCTTGATAGACTAAATTCTTTCCTACTTCTTTTGCCTTCTCACTTCTCTTTTTTTCTGCTCTCTTCAGGGTCTTGAGTCTCCCATTCCAAATGTTTAAAATGAGTGTTGACATTGACCTATGACATCTCCACTCCCCTCAGCCTGTTTTGTAGATATCCCAGGGGAGCAGAATGTGTGCCGAGTTTGTGTGTGGAATCAGATGAGAAACAGAATCAGGTAACAATGCAGAGGAAAATGAAGGGGACTGCTCAAACTGAGCTGTTTGGGTGATGTACTATGTTGACTTTGGGTGTCAGAAGAATCTGTAGCTCGGTATGGAGATGATCATGGATATATGTTCAGGAAACATTTCAACCAAATAGGTAAAATGCCATCAGGTGAAGGCGTCACAGGAATGTCACTAAAAATTTCAGATTTGATGGCAGAGAGAGCTATACTTACATATACCTGTGTTCTTGCTTTACATAGCTTAGTTATAAATACCCTCCTTCACTTCCTCACATGAACTCTGTCAAAACAGGGATTAATGCTTGTATGCCTGGCACTAGTAACTCTTTGTCCAGTAGATGAGTACTATCGTGTTTCTGTATTACACTCTTAGGTTGCAGAGAGGGCAGAAGTTGAATTTTAACCATGACTCTGCCTCTTGTGAGTCTTGCTGCCTACACTTGGAGTCTCAGGGTCCTCATGTATCTAATAGAACTGTGAAGGCTCCATAATAAAGTGAGGAATTCGAATGGACATTGCCATGGTCTGAGTGTTTGTCTCTCCAATGTAGGTATGCTAAAATCTAATCCCCAGCGGTTTAGGGAATTATGAAATGAGGCATTTAGCAGGTGATTAGGTCATGACAATAGAGCCCTTGAGAACGGGATTAGGGTCCCTATAGGGGGCCCCAGGGAGCTTGTTTACCCACCCCCCCATTTACCATGTGAAGACATAATGAAGAGGCAGCCTCTATGGAGCGGAGCCTACATCAGACACCTAATCTGCTGGCACCTTGATCTTGGACTTCCCAGCCTCCAGAACTGTGAGAAATAAATGTGTTTACAAATTATTCAGTCTAAGTTGTTTTGTTAATAGCAGCCCACATGGACTAAGCCAAACCTTTTGTCAATGGATGTCTCTGTCCCTTTCTTATCCCAGTGCCAGTTTTTCATCATTCCCTCCTTAGTCCCTCTAAATCACAGCCTTCTTTCTCTTAGCGTTATAGTTTAAGTGGGAAAGGAAGACTAATTTGGCAATGATTAGTCTTCATTATAAAAACATCAGGCAGTGAAAAGCACAATATATAAAGCTCATGAAACAAGTTTAGAGTAGTGATGTCACACAGCTGCAGCTGAACTGAAAGGAGACAAAGACTCCTTCAATGTTTGCTTTCCTCTGCAGGGTCAGCTTTGCTGAAATCCACATGATTTGTGTGGTACAAGGTGGGAAGATGCATACATGTAGGAAGGGAAACTGTCTGAATCACTTGAGGAGCAGATGACTTGCGGGGGCTGGAGGTCTGGTGGGGTAGACCTTCTGACCACTCAGACCTAACTCCCAGCTCCTTGTAGGAAGAAAAGACACAAGACAATGGGTAAAACAGAATGTTAAGTTTATATACAAGAATATAATGTTTATCTGAAATATTTACAGTGTTGGTTAAAGCAATTATTTTTACAACTTTTTAGGTAAACTACTATGTATATTACAGGTAAGCTACAATGGTTTTATTTGCAAAAAATTAAGTAAAAAATGCTTTAAACAAGGCTTAATGAACTCAAGTCAATTACAAAATTTATTTACTTTGCCCTTTATTTGAAGAAATCATGCTATGAAGACTGGTAATGTGCTTCTTATAAATGGAAGTACTGCAGCTGGAATGTGATACATGCAACTGTGTGAGTTCCTAGTGAGGGCGTAACACGGCAAATGTATTCTTAGTGAGTCTCAGGCTGGAGCTGAGGGAGAGGTTGGGATAACAGCCTGCTTTATCCCAACAGTTTGCAACCCATGGGTTCGAGCCACAGAGCAAAATGAAGCATCTTGCATGGCCACCTCAGTGAGTGGTGAAAACCAGCCGATTCCGATCAAACAGTGGGTTAAAAACAAAATCAGACCCAAGACACAGTCACATATATTCAAAATTAGCCTTGTAAATAGCCATAAAAATAGTCATGACTTTATTGGTTTGGGTTTTTTCTTTCTACGGAAACAGATATCCATTCCCGAGGCCTCCCAGGGCCTTGTAACTCAGGAAATGCTGGGATGGAAACGTGCAAAAGGCAGGCAAGGTGCTCCAGGCCGGGGATGGAGCACACTGGACTGTGCTTGGAAAACCGAAAATGATGTGTGTGTGGGGGGGTCCACCGGAAACGGAAACGGTCAGGTGAGCTCTGGCGCCTCTGGGACCCCGGAACTAGCACTGCAGCTTGCGGATGCTGCGGGAGATGCGCTTGAACTCTCTCTGCCCCTTCTGCCACCGCTTCACCGAGGTGATCACCAACTCCCCGCCCTGCTTCTGTCCCATGACCAGATAGGGCGCGTTGATGTCGTTCATCTCCTCGCAGGTGCACTGCAAGCTGTCTTTGAGCCACAGCACCGATTTCTTCAGGTCCCGTTCGGACACACCGTTCAGCTTGTAAATGGTCTTGCTCTTGGTCTCCAGGATGATTTTGGTGTCCCTGTTGATGTAGGTTATCTCCTTTACTTTTATTTTCAGCGCTATGAAGATAAGAGCGGTAGAGAGAACCACACATTATCACGGCAGAGTACAGTACGGATCTGGAGCTTTCTTCCTCCACTTTGCTGCCTATTCCTGCAGCTTGGCTTGTGGGAGGGGAAGTGACCTTCCTAGAACAGATGAAACCTCAGGGGCTGCAGGACGGGGTCCATTGCTAGAGCTGGGGGCAGCAGGTGGGTCCACTTCTAAAGGAAATGTTTCCGGTCAGCCATCCTTTCCAAACTTTCTCTTTGCAGGACTCAATTAACTTTTCTTCTACTTTCCTTGCCCTTGGGTTTGTAAGTGGGTTGCATGTGGTTGTGCTCGCCCCAACAAATGACTTCCCCTGTTGGAAACTTCAGCATGAAAAGATATGCCTGACTCTTAGGTGAAACATGATCCTTCTATGGTTGTAAACTTTAAACTGAATTTATTATATTGGAGAGGTTTTTGGACAAACCTGTAAGGAAATTGTATCACACAATCACTGTTTTCTAAAGAACAGATTTCAGGGAAGGAGAATTGATCTTGCAGCTGCATTTGATTTGGTAAAGTAACTAGGAGAAAAAAAAATATGCAAGATCCTTTTAAGAGCACAACATGTTTAGCCATAAAAGTGTTTTGCTGAAGACCTCATCCTTGCGTGTTCTCATTTGCCTGTCCAAGGCCAAGGCGTTTACAGATCATACATGTACTGTTTCCAAAATGTATATGTAGACTCATTAGAATGTTAAGGCCAAAAGTAAGTGGTTTACTATAAAAGACACTTTTTATAGTCATGAGCTTATGCAAAGTCTTGCTTTGGGTAAGGAAATCTTACAAACATACATGTTGGAATAAATTGCAAGACTATGCAGGCAGGAGACAGAATTTAAAGGTTGGAAAGAGCCGTCCCATTGCAATCTTTTGTTAGGACATAAAGAATCTGAAATCCCTAGGGAAGTTTAGTGGCTTTCATCAGGTCACCCCGTTAGACTGTGTCTTAGCCTAGTTTAGCGGTCAGACTCCAGCCTCCAGTTCTCCTTCAATGTCAGATTTCTCCAGTGTGCTCAGACCCTGGCCACTGACCGCTATCCTGTACAGGTATGACTTCCTGACTTTGATGGGGGTTAAGGCATTGTTGAAACCAGTAGTCAGAGAGTTTTGTGCATGTGTTTGGAGCCCTTTGAGGTTTCCTTTTTCTTTTTTGAAACATCAGACAGGGAATTGGACTAAGTGAGTCAACTGAGAAATGACAGAAATGCAACGGGATAAATCGAGGGTGCTGTGACTTTGCCACCATGATTTTGTCTGGTCTGCACCTGAACCAGAGCACTGAGTTATCAGTTCATGAGAGTTCAGTTATAGAATAAGCCACATGGAAAGGTCACATTTCCTGTGACCTCTGCTTAGTGGACAGGGTGCTGGATGACCCCCACATGGTTGGGATACCTGTTACACATGATAGGATTACTTACTGATTATATATTCCCAGATTTTACCTGGTCAGATGAAACATTCTTGAGTTGGCACATCAGAAAAATAACCACTTCTTACCAAGACAGGGTTTATTATTCATCTTTCTCTAGCATTAAAATAACCAACTTGGCAAGTGCACAATAGAATGGGAAAATATTAAAGATATCTTTCTTGGATTTTCTGTGTAGACCAAACACAGGGAATCAAAGGAACTTTACTGAGGAACTTTCTGCCCTGGGAGACGTGCCTGAGTATTCAGGATGTGGTAGGAAGCAGAGGTGATGACACTACCTGATTCAGTGATACACTGGGTACGTGGGAAGGCAGTTCCAGGCCATTCTTAATTTATAAGTGCAAACTTTACTATAGGAAGGTGTTGTATATTTCTCTTGTCTTCCAGGTGCAGTGGGGAAGAGTTGGTGCCTGCTTGGGTGATTCATGTTAAATAAATCAGACTGCTATCAGGCATGGTGTTGCATGCATGATTCCAGCACTCTGGGAGGCTGAGACAAGATCACAAGTTTAAGATCATCCCGGGCAATTTAGCAAGACTGTGTGTCAAAATAGGAATAAATTGGACAGAGTAAGTAGCTTAGTGCAGAAGCCCTGGGTTCAGTTTCCAGTACTCCACCAAACAAACACATAAACAAACCCAGAGAACAAAACAGAGGACCAACCTCGATCTCTGTGCTTGTTCCTACCACCTGTTACTCAGAATACCCATACAGAGTACAGTGTGTGGTATACTTCCTGAAATTCATCATCCCTTTGTCGGACAAAAGCAGAACGGGAAAACAGAAGACAAAGCTTGTGAGTGAGCTACACGTATGATGCCTTGAGTGTGATGACTTCCACACTCACCCCCTTCTTTTTTCTCAGATCTTGATTGGGCATCTTTAAAAGGGGAAGCCACAAATAATATGCAAGTGTGTGCCCCCTAAATTCAGCTGTTTGGGAGTCTGTAACCACCAACATTTTCAAGGAAGTCAGGAGAAAGATACTATATGTATTAGTATACGTAGTGCAAAAGATATAAGTTCCCAGAAAAAAATGATATGGCATAGGATTTTTTATATAAGTTTTACTAAAGTGGCCTTTATCTATGAATCATGTCTTGAGGCATGGCGCTAACATCTGTTTGGGTAAGGCGCTGGTGATTTGGGATTCTCTGCTGCTAACATGCTTGGTCCTCTGAGAATGAGACTTGTACGTTTGAATACAGTGTGTCAAGCCCTATCAGTCCTGGCTGCTCTCTTCCAAATGAGAGGGGTCAGGAAGGACTTTCATCTGCCTTCCTTCCACCCCTGCCTTACCAGCTTGAAACCTTGCCTCTTGGCGGGGTGTGGTGGTTCTGGAAGCCGCCATGGTGACACCCAGGGCACTGGCTGGAAGAGCCCTGGAGCTAACTAAAGCAGTCACTGGGTTATTCCGAGCGGGGGGCTGCCCTGGCTGAGATTTGAGGGCCACCAAGATAAGGAGAGAGGAAGGCTGTCAGCAGAATGGTTTCCCTCAGGCTTGGGATGCGTTTAGTTTGTGGAAATGTTAATATGGATTGGTTAGAGTCCATTACTGATGGGGAAGAGGTACCAAGCCTTCTAATATAGCAAAAGGTGCCTGCCTTGGAACAGGACGAAGGCAGCATGTCCAGAAGTCTGGGTGACATTCTTGGCCGCTCCTAACCCTGACCTTACCCTGGTCCTTCTTGGGTGTGGCGGGTGTGCTCCCTCCCCTGCGGGCCTGACAGCAGCAGCTAAGGTGCAGGTGGAGTTTCAGTCTCCACTCTTTCCTCTGACACTTCTCTCCTGGGGGAGTTATGCCGTATGCATTTGGGTAACATGTGCCACACTTTTTTTTTTATTGTTCCCAGGTGCCAGGTCATCATGGCATCTTTCGTGTATCTTGGTAAAGTACGTTTTTAAGCTTTTTTGTTTTTCCTATTTACACGAATGTGGCAACTGTGTCTAGACTTACAAGGACTTCACACACACAAAAAATCCTTTAAAAAGGATTTTAGGATGGTGATTTGACATTGTGCAAAAGCCCACATTAGATGTCTTCTTGGGAAACCATTCTGTTTATATAAGGAGCCCTTCCCCCCCACGTTATTCACCAGGGCTTTGGATATATTCACTGATGATGGAATGCAGGGGAGCAGATCAGGGATTGCAAAGAGAGTAATACTCTTTCTTGATGCCAGCCGAAGTTGCTGTCTGCGGCCAGCTGTGCCTTGAACCTGTTCTGCTGTTAATATTTGCAGTCCTCTCCCTGGTACACGTGTCAAGTGACTGAACATTGATAATTTGAATAATTCTCATAATGTATTGCTTAAAGGAACTGTGGATTTCTCCTAAAAAGCTACACTTTAATATATAATAGTGACATAAGGGGAAACCAAGATGAAGCAAATGAGACGGCTTTAGCAAACATGAGCTGTGACTATTTCATGCAACCTTTGCCTGGCAACCTCTTAATGACTTGTACTTCTACATTTTACTAGTAAATAAAACTCTTGAATGTGAAATCTGCTGTTGGTCTATTACTTACCAAAATCATTTTTACAAAGAGTTTCCATTATGTCGTTGTCATCATCATTTTTACTTTTGCAGGCTTCACACACCTTCGGAGCTAGAAATGTGAAAAACAGTCATTAGTAAGTTTGCTTTAAAAAGGAACAGCAGGTGGCATTTGTAAATAACTCAAAGGGGCTAACCCGGGGCAAGAGAGGCGATTGGCCCAAGAGACTCCTGCTTCTGCCTTCTCTGTAAAAGGAGAGCCCCTCATTGCCAAGAAAGGCTTCATGCGTTCTGTTTATGGTTGCTCAAAATGAAAACTTCCATGTGTTGTGTTCAATAAATAATGATTCTCAAATCAAAAGGAAGTTGAGGGTAGACCGTGCAGATGCATGCAGCGAGTTAACTGGGGCAGGTTGTAACTTTTCAGTCACCCACCCCTGCGACCAATTCAGTGTGCAAATGTTATTCCCAAGATCTAAGAAGCAAGCACTAAAAGATCCCAAGAGTGATTTGGAAAAACTCATAAAACACAGCCAAAAGATGGTCATGCTCAGCTGCGGGACAGCAGGGCGGCTCTTCTCTTTAGCAGAGCTCCATGTCACGAGGGAGTCAATGCAAGGTATTTTTGGGTCTGTACCGGAAGAGGTGGCTGGGGTGTTAGGATGTTAGGGTGACTGGATGGCCGCTTCCATCTTGGAAACACACCTCCTGGTTGTACCAGCCGCTCTGAGTGGCCATTGCTCCTCAAACTTTCTGCCAGGTTTGTGCTTGTATTAGGCAGAATTTATTGCATTACTTACCACCATTCTGGTACAGATTCTTCTTGTCCTTATTGGCCTGTTTCAGATGTTCAGACAAAAACGGAACCCAACCCCAAACAAAAACCCATCCCCGAAGTGAATCACAGATAAAGCCAAGCTGTCTATGGGAGCTGACCACACCTAGGGATTAATTCTGTGTGCTCACCCAAGGCCCACCGAAGCTGTTCTAAAATAGTCTGATTGGGGGGGGGTCATTTATAAATGTGCTGATGCTGCCTTTAGATTTAGATGAAATTCAATTATCACTGATATGAAACTGGATTTTCACAGAAAAAATTTTATGTGACTCGTAAGAGTTATCAAACTAGTCAAGAAATCGCAAAGAGCAAAATACGAAGAACATAAACTTTTGAAGGAGGAAAATGACTTTTTGGGAAACATAAACAGTGTGTAAAGTTAGTGCTAATAGCAGAGAGAAACAAAAAAGCATCTCATACAAAACTGCCTTCATTGCCTTCACGGGACCCAAAAGAAACATCTCCAATTAGGAGCTCCCAGGATGTATATAAACTGTTCTAACCTGTACTGGTTAGTCTATGGTATATGTTGGACAAATGTTTGAAAAATGCCAAACATTTGCAATAAATTAGAAATCTAACCAATAAGATGATTGCAAACTCCTGATGCCTGCCAGGAAAGATTGCTAAACAAGTTTGCATTTTCTTTAACTAATGATGTCTGCAGGAAAACAACTGGAGACTGAAAGGGAGATGCTGGAAGGCCTGAAGGTGATTAGGAAGCCCCCTTCCATCCCCCGGGACCGAAATCAGCCCCGACACATTGTATGTTTTCCTTTCAGGAAAAATAGCAAGGGCCCATGAGGTTTTCATTGCTTTGATGGTTTTTTTGCTCAGAAACTCCCCTCTGTTTTGTAAAAACTTGGGAAACTCTTTTGCATGACTTTCTCCAGTTAATTAAAACCACTCCTAAGATAAAAGCTGATCGCGATAGAGGATTCCTGGAGATTCCGTGTATGCTAGCTTCCTCCAACACCTGGGCAGCTACAATCAAGATTCAGTTTGCAGATAGTCCAAACCGGTACTGGTCTTGTGTCTAAGCATACGTTAGCAAGGTCAAAGTGGTCACCTGTTTAGACACCTTGGTTATTATCCTGCCTGTCCAGGAAACATTCCTGGGACCCTAGCACCTTGCCCAGCGGTCGGAACGTGCGGGTAGGGGCCGAGTGAGGAGCCCTGGCCAGGGTCCTCACCAGCTTCTCCACACAGGAGCTCAGAGGTGAGGCCTCAGGGCCAGCAGGCCCCTTTAACAAGAATTGTGCACCTACGAAAAAAGCTACCTTTCAGTTTTTCCGTTTTCTTTCGCCGTTCCTTTTAACTGTCTCTAAGTGTAACTCGGGTGGGGTGAGAATAAAAGGGCGAGGGCAAGGGGACACAGGCTGGTGGCGACAGCCAGGCTGCCGGGGTTCTCTGTGGCGCCCCAGCAGAGCTAGAAGGAATGGGGGGGCTCACCTTCTTCTGTGGCCGGCAGGAGGTGGTCGCTGCTAGCGAGGGGGATGCAGAGGTCATTGTCCTGGGGGAAGCGATCGCACTCGAGCATGTCGGGCCAGGGGAAGCCGAAGGCGGACATGACCGGGGCGCAGCGGTCCTTCACTTGTACGCAGAGCGAGTGGCAGGGTTGGATGGTCTCGTCCAGGTCGTCGAGGCAGACGGGGGCGAAGAGCGAGCACAGGAACTTCTTGGTGTCCGGGTGGCACTGCTTCACGACCAGCGGGACCCAGGCGCCCGCCTGCTCCAGCACCTCCTTCATGGTCTCGTGGCCCAGCAGGTTGGGCAGCCGCATGTTCCCGTACTCGATGCCGTGACACAGCTGCAGGCTGGCCGGGATGGGCTTGCAGTTGCTGCGCTTGTACGAGAAGTCGGGCTGGCCGAAGAGGAAGAGCCCGTGCGCCGAGCCCAGCGAGCAGTGCAGCGCGAGGACGAAGAGCAACAGCGGACCGGGGCCCTGCGGCATCGTGGGCGCGCGACCCGCGGGGGGCGGAGGGAGCCGAGCCGGGCAAGCGCGGGGCAGCCGGAGCCCAAGCTCGTCCCGGGCCCGCGGACCGTGCTCGGCGAGGCTGGGGGTTTGGGAAGCCGGAGCGCGCGAGGCCGGGCGCGGGGAGGACGGCGCGGGCCAGACGCTGCAGCCTGCGCGCAGCTCCGGGGGGCTCCGACCCGGGGGAGCAGAGTGAGCCGAGGCTGGGGCGCTGCCAGGGTTTTCTCGGCCTTTTTTATGCAAATTTGGAGGTGGGGGAGGAGCCAGCGGAGAGTAACCCGAGGAGGGCTGGTCACTACTTTCTAGGTCTCTGGCACTCGCAGGAAGGAAATTCTGCCCGCGCCCCCTCCCCAGCGCTGCGGCCGCGCGCGCTCCACCATCGCCTTCCACAACAAACAGAGCGGCCCGGCTCGGCCGCCGCGCCCGCAGAGGGGAGCGAGGCGCGGGCTGTGGGAGCTGGGGGCCCGCGGGGCACGG